GCCTAAAAGGGGTGTCTGATGATCGTGATGCCTCGTAACTTCTCGACAAAGTACGGTAGAACGATGACAATGGTACATGGAAGTGTGTAAATTCATCTTCAGTTTGAGACTAAAGGTTATTACCCAACTGTAATTTATTGTTCTTTTATGGCAAGGTACATCTGTCTCAGTCAGATCTACGCATATTACAGTTATGTCTGGTGGCTTGTGAAAGGGTCATTGCCTAACCTTTCCAAGGAACAATTGCGTGATATTTTCCCTCAGAGACCAAAATGCCCTGAAACTGTGTAAACAACGCAGATATCTTCTGCTGCATTTGTGGCGAGGTGACATTTGCATCTCAAAAGTGCGGTAGGACAGCAGTGGTGGGAAAGGCAGACCACCTGTATTTTGGGTGTAAAGTAGGGGCTCAGGACAAGAGCTGGGCCCCTCATTCTTGTTGTATTACATGTGCAACTGATCTGCGTCATTGGCTGAAGGAGAGGAAAAAGCCCACGCCTTTCGCGGTCCCAGTGGTGCGGAGGGAACCCCCCCACCGTAGGTGGAGTTTCTTGGGAACAGCAAGGCAGATGACTAGGAAAAAACACATGGAAAATTTGCTTAGGTCCTATAAAGCACTCGGTGCAAACGTGTCTCTGAAAATTCACATCTCACACTTGCGTTTAGACTATTTCCCTTTGAATTGTGGGGCAGCGAGTGATGAGCATGGGGAGAGGTTCCACCGGGATATCGCAGGCATGGAGGAAAGATACCGAGGGAATGGAGTCCGTCCATGCTTGCCACTTACTGCTGGAATCGCTCCAGGGATGATCCTGCTGCAGTTCACAAGAGAAAAGCCAAAAAGCTCAGTGTAGATACCGAATAAAGATGGAACCTTGTTGTTTAATCTGATGTTAGAGCTTGTCAGTTTTTCGTGCAAAAAGCATGAAAATGTTACTTGAAAAACCAATAAATGAATGGAAAGTTATGTTGTGGGTATCAATAAAAAGATAAATTTATAAGGATTGGTGTGGCACCATTCTCATTGCTATATCGCATTTTGCAGAAAAGTTATGGAGCAGAATCACACACCCCTCGTAATTTTGAATTATTTTGATGCAATGTTGACTTGAAGCTGCATCGTGGAAACTGGAGCCAATTAACACTCAGAACTTAACTTTCCTTTATTAGGGACCCAATTCTGGTAAAAGGTAGATACTTTCATTTCCGAGACTTGCTCCTTGTAGACCAGGGAATTCCATCTTCGCCCCCTATTAAACGTATTCGGCTTCCTACTTTTTTCCTGACAGATGCCTCATTGTGAACAGTGAACAGTTAAATAACAGTTTTATAATAACAAGAAGTACTAAAAATAAGACTAGGGCAGGTGTAACTAAGAATAACTATACCTGTTGAGTTTGGGCGAGAAATTAACCTCAGTTTGGTAACAGTTGAGCAAAAGTCACACGTTTCCTTGTATTTGGAACAGGTGGGGAAGCAAACTGAGGAAGATGTGTATCCCAGGAGGGGGGGCCATCTGTCGCAGTGCCCAAGGAAAGATTCAGTCTGGTGTAGATGGAAAGCAGCCAGGCTGCATCCCGCCCATTCACCAGGACCAGAAAAAAGGCATCTGTCCCTGTGGTTTGGGGTACCTCTGTGAGCATTTCACCCTCTGGACTGGGTTTCCCCAATTATGCAATGGGGGAAAGAAAATACAATGAGAACAGACAAATAATTTTGATAATTTTGAGTGGTGTGGGCTCAAGATTTTTGGGGCCCCCATAGAAGGGCGCTTCTCCCCACTGAAAATGATCCTCATTGTGGGGTTAAACACTAGTTTGTGCGTAAATGGTTCGATTGCTGGCATCTCCAGGCAGGGTTGGGAAACTGCCCACCTGAAGCCCTCAGAGAGCCATTGTTGCCCAAGGGATGTGGGTTGTTGCTGAAGCCTGGATTACTGTGTTGTCTTAACTCTGAAGCAAATGTGTAAACTCAGTTTACAACCCACCAACAAGCCATGGCTCTTTGTGGCTTGTTCTTGGTTAACAAACCACAGCTGGTTAGCATGGCTGGGTTCAGACAGCAGACCGCTGAACTACAGTTCAGCAACAGCCCATGTTCGACCCATACTCAGCTTTAACTTGGAGTGGGTTGTGTTGTTGGAGTCAAGAAAAGTCCTCTTCTGGATCAGAACCAAAGGTCCATACAGTCCATGGTGGCAAGCCAGCTGCTCCAGGAACCCCAAGTAGTATGAGCGCAAGGCCGGCTCTTGCCCATGCTCCTCAGCACCTGGCGAATGCAGGTACGCTGCCTCTGGTGAAGGAGCTGGCAGACGGCCAGCAAGGCTCAAAGCCACAGGGGGCCTCCTCCCTTACAAAACTGTCGTCCAAATGCAGCTAACAGCCTTCTTTTGCAGGCACGGATGGGCCAGCTTTCCAGATCTCCAGAGCTCAAGCAGAACGTTAAAAGAAAGAAAAGGACATTTGGGGCATTCTGACTTTGCAATCGCGCGTTGCAGCTCATGTGGCAGCGATAGGCGGCACCTGACTACTTGCACACCCCTCCTCCTTCCTTCACCTGCGATGCTCTGAGTTTGCCATTCCTCTTGCCCAGCCTCCCGGCACAAAAGCACCCCTGCTTTTGCACATCCTGCCTGATGAAGGGACCTGGCCTCCTGAGAAGCACGCACGTTGTTTAAAAAGCTCCTTTGGGTGTCCTAGTCAAGGCATTAATACTAAAACGGGCTCTGGAATGTTCTTAGGGTCAATGCAGGCACCTTTGCTTCCTTTCCAAGAAAAGCTCGCTGTGCCACTAGACTGGACTGGTGCAACTGGAGCCACTCAGCATGCGTAGCTGAGGCTTTGCGCCTGCTAAATTTAGTGCTCTTGGGAAAACAGATGGGCAGAACTGGAAGGAGCTGGTCCCAGGCTCAGTGGATTAAGTCCAGCAGTTCCTCTCATTGAGCGGGCAGTTCTACAGAAGGCATGCGCAGAGGCGGTGTGAGAAAATGGCGGACGAAGGCTGGGCCACCGAGAGTTTTCTTTGGAGCTCTAAATCTCTCAGAGGCCATCATCCCCGCTTCACCCTGATTGTCATACTATCCTACTTTGCAGGGTTGTTGTGAAGGTACAACAGAGGAGGAAGATCACATGGGGTCCTTGGAGGAAAGGCAGAATGTTGGTGTGGCACCCAAAAAACTGGGGTTTTACTGTATCAAGTGTCAGATGCTTGTGGGGTTTGTTTTATTCTACTAATTTTCTGTCAGCTGTTTTTAGTGGACAGGTTAGAAAACTAAACAAATAAATGCAAAAATAGGGCCAGCCTTGCTCACCGTGGCCCCTCCAGGCATCTTGGACTACAACGCCACCTCACTGACCCCAGGCAGCATGTCCACCAGACAAGATGGGAGATGTAGTCCAAAGCATCTGTAGCACACCTAGTTGAAGAAGGCTCGTGCAGGCATTTCTGGGGTGTTGCTACTAACAGCACCCCAAAACACCCCAAATGTGGTTAGCCTGAGGAAGGGCAAGATAGTAGGCGCAGTGCAGAAGGGGGGAACTGAGTATGATTTGTGTGAGCCCCCGTGACAGAGCAGCCAACTCTCAAAGGAGAGCAAATGGGGAGAGTTGCTGGCGCTGGAACTGGTTTAGATCTCAATAAAAGTAGCAAAGTACATTATGAATTACAGTAAGTGTCGAAACGCAGGCTGGTGTGAATGGTTGGAAGAGTATTAGCGGACGTATGGGAAGGAAGCCCTTGGGAGAATAACGGGTTCCTTCAAGGAAATAACAAAAGGTCTGGATGAACAGGTTGTGAATGTATCCACTGTGCACCTGGACATCATGCCTGTGACGGCGGAGAGTGCATAATGCATGTGTTCTGTACCTCTTTCGAGACTGATTTGGGAAGCGTGTCGCCCTTCGCCTCCGTTTTATTTTAACGTGCACTAGAATAAAGCGGTGCTTGCTCCCAAGGCTCCTTCTGCCCCCAGGGCTGGGGTCCGGCCGGGCCCTGCTGAGTCCAGAAGCAGGGGCAACGTACCAAAAGCATCCGCCCGCCACCTTTGAGCTGCGACTCCTTCCAGGACGGGGATGATGGGAGTTGTAGTCCAACACGTGCGGGGAGGCCACAGGTTAGGGAAGTCTGGCTCATATGCACGACTCTCTCTCTCCTCTCTCTCTCTCTCTCTCTCTCTCTCTCTCTCTCTCCAGGCAGCTCTGCGCTCCAGTCCTCATTCGCCCCAGCCAGCGCGCAGGGCCAAGGTCGCGATGCTGGGAGTTGTAGTCCAACATACCCCGAGGGGGCCGTGCTGCACTCTTTTGCGCGTATGCGTGTGCACATCGGCTCCGCTGCGCGATCTGTTTTGCAACTGTGCCCCAGGGGGCCGCTTGCTTCCTGCCCCACCAGGCCAAGGCCGCCCCGCTCCTAATGTGTCGCCATAGCAACTGCGGGGTCTCCCGCCGCAGCCGCTTCCCCACCCCTTGCCTGTCCGCCCCGCCCCCTCGCCCCGCCCCTCTCGCCCATCCGTTAGCCGAGTGGGGCGGGGCGGCCGGAGGGGGAGGGCGGAGAAGGGGGGAGGAAGAGTGTGGCTAGCCAATCGGAAGCTACGGGGCGGGGTTAAAGACGGAGAAGGCGGAGACAAGAAAAGGAGCGAGAGAGAGTGGGGCAAAGGGCCCGGCTGCGCGGCCAATGGCTGCCTGCGCCGGCGCCGCGCGTGCGCGGAGGGCGCGCGGGGCGGAGCCGCGCGGCGTCGGTGCGGGAGGGGGAGGGCAGGGAGGGGGAGGTAAATAAGATGGCGGCGGCGTGCTAGCGGCGGCGCGGCGGCAGCGGGAAGGCGAACGGACGGTCAGGCGGCTTGGCGCGGTGTCGTGAGGCGGGGGAGCGCGCAGGCCCCGCAGCCGCCCCGGGAGGAGGGGCAGCCCCGCGACTCGCCCCGCAGCCGGCGGCACCCCCAGCCTCCCGGTCCCCCTTCCCTGTCCCTCAGCGAGGGGCCGGGGCCGGGGCCGGGGCCTGCTTTTCCTTCGGGGGGGCGGGCCTGGGGCAGCTCCGTGCTTGTGTGAAGCGGGCCTCGGCCGTGGCTGTTCGTGAGGAGAGCGGGCTTGAAATAAGAGGCTGGCATATATTTATTTTTTGAGGAGGGGGTGTGTGCGTGACGTGGGCCCGGCTCCGGTTTGGAGGGTGGCCGTGTGTGTGTTTGGGGGTAGAGTAGCTATAGAAATCTAATATATTTAGTTCATTAATTTGTTTTTGTTAAGTACGTGTAGCTGGGGGAGTGACTCTCCTTTATTGACTCCTGTTTAGAGATTTTCTGGGGGGCAGCTAACTTCCCTTTCTAAGAACCAAAGGTTCTGAGCTTCCCCCACTGTTTATAAAGTTCAGTCCGCCTAATTAATCGATCCTCCCTTTTCTTCTTTCTGGCTCCTGCCAACCAGTGACACCACTTGCTGTGCTCCTAAGGCGTATTCTGGGGGTGAAGAGTCCTTCATCTGGCCCCCACTTTTCTGGTTTTGCGGAGGGAGCAAGGGTTGAGCGGATGAGTGACCCTTCTTGGAGAAAGCCTTCCACACTTTTTAAAGATAGATCTTCTCAGGGGAAGGAGCGACACTTAAGGGCCTGTGAAGAGGAAACCTTTCCCTTCTGCATTCCTCCCATGCCTTCCCTTTTGCACTTTTCATTGCAGATCTTTGTGGAGAACAAGCCTGAGTCTGTGTAGTTCATTAGGAGGAGGGACACATTAATTGATAGCCTTCTTTTTTCCTTTTGCTCCTCAGTTTTAGGAACATTTCTGAGGAGGGAGCTTCCTGGTCTTTTCCCCTGCTTTTTTTAATCACCCCTTGCTCCTGTAGAGAACTATCATCTTGATATTGGTGCTTTCTGAGGCGAGCACCATTGCTTCAGGTGTTTTTTTCCCCCTCCTTCTCTTGTTCATCCTTTTTTGGGGAAGAGGGAGTTATATTCCTCAGTACTGTGTTTTTGGCAGCAGGGTGAATGTTCATTTGGGATTAGGCACCTGTACTACTGATTCGCACCCACCACACTTATCCCATATTGCAAAAAAGGTGCACTTCTTTCATTGAGCGTTGCCATGGGATGGCAGCGACACTTCTTACGGAACAGTGGTGTGTGAACATTTCGTACAGGGGTGGAATTATTTCCCTGTTTTAATCCCAGGGAGAGGAAGCCCGTATTAAGGGCGACTTTATTTGTTTGATTACTGATTTTGTTAATTACTTTGGTTTCAGGTTTAGGGGACTCTGCAAAAATAGGAGAAACAATTCACGAGTGTGTAAAGTTCAGTAATCAAAAGTGGGTCTAGGTTCCTGCCACTTTCCCACTCACGCGCTACAGGGGGCATTCGCTTGAGATTCTAGGTTTTTGCTTGCCACATATCCCACCACTCTTTAGCTTGGAAGAAGGTTTAAATACATGTGAGTGAACACATAGGCAAGCGCAGTGTTTTGTTTTCAATAGGGGACGATTCAGGAGCTGTTCATTAATGGAATCAGTCTCTCTGGAGTAGTGCTTGGAAAAGTCTGGGTGCTGAGTTGTTTATTCAACAGTGGAAGGGTTCCCCAAGGTCAGGAAACTTAGGGGTTCTTTCCTTTTTTCAGGATAGCTGCTTATTCTGGGGAAGCCAGTAATCTGTATAAACTTGCCTCAAAGCCTTTTCCCATTTATGGTGGGTACCCAGCTCTGGGAGACTTGAAAAGGGTTTGCATTGCCTACCTGCCTTGATACCTGAAGCAGTTGGGGTGACACATCATGTGTCAGGTAGACCCCAGGTGGTTGAAGGATGCCCCTGGAAGTACTTGCTAGACACGGAAGGCCTCGAACCTTTATCAAGGACGAAAGAGAAGCCGTTAAAATCAGTATTGAAAATTCCTTTAAAGAGACTTGGTTCCAGCTTCCGAACGGCTGAGAAAACCTGCGACAGGGATTGCACCTGGGTGGTGAGAGCGGCAGACGGCGGGAGCCTCGATTCTTCACGTCCCAGTTTGACTACAAGAACAGCCCTTCCTGCCAGCAATGGATCGGCCCTAAAGAAACTCACTTGCTGTTTTGATTTCAGACCTCTGGAGTCTTGCGAAGATGACTTAGGTCTCAAAGAAGGGGAAGGTTTGGACTGTATAGGAGGACAAGCTGACCTGAAAACCAGGGAGCAAAAGAGAGATCAGAAAGTGAAAGAGAGTCTGATTTCGTCTTCCCCTTCGTGTTCACTGTAGTCCTGTAGTTTTGGAACAAGGAGCCAGACCTTTCTGGGTCGACAGGAAAGTTCTAATAGGGTTTTTTTTTCATTAAGTTAAAACTGTACAATCTTCTAAAAAAGTCTTTACTTTCCTCTACTGAACTTTTCTTCCCCTCCCTACCAAACAAAAGAAGAGGAAGCTGGGAGTCAAAGGGAACCTTGTCCGTACGGGGAACTGGATTTATAAAACTTTGCCACACAACCAGTTGACACTTTGGGGTTCCAAGATGGAACCGGATGAGCTGCAGCCGCTGGACATGTTTGTGGAAAGTGAGCTGATGTCTGTGGGCATGGACACATTCATCCACCGGATTGACTCCACGGAAGTGATCTACCAGCCCCGCCGGAAGCGGGCCAAGCTCATTGGCAAATACCTGATGGGGGACTTGCTCGGGGAAGGGTCGTACGGCAAGGTCAAGGAGATGCTGGACTCCGAAACCCTCTGCCGGAGAGCTGTTAAAATCCTGAAGAAGAAGAAGCTGCGCCGGATCCCCAATGGGGAAGCCAATGTGAAAAAGTGAGTGTCGACTGGGGCGAGGGGATGCGCTGGGGCCTGCGTCTGCTCGGGCTGCTCTGTGCTTTATCATGGAAAGGGTGAAACGAGGCGGGAGATGCAACTGCTCCTTGGAAGGACTTGTGCCTTAAAGGAGTCTTCCCGGATCTGGGCATAGGGGCTGTCCAGGCACCCCACCTGGTGCCTCCCAGGCTTGTCGGATTACAACATCCCCAACAGCTGGACAGGTGGGCCACAGGTCAGGGTAGACCATCCTAAAGGGCTGGATGCCGGGCTGGATGCAGCGCCACTGGAACGATCCGGGAGACATGCTGGTGCACTCAAGTGTCCTGCAGGATGGTCCCCCTGAGCTCCAGCCCGCCTGGCTGATGCTGGGAAACTGTGGGAGCTGGTGGGCACTGGAATTAGAGGTGACGGTTGAAGGAGGAACCTGCAGTCCAGGAGCGGATTCAAATGTCCTTTCAGGCACGGATTTGCTGGGTGACTTCAGGCCTTGGCCTCGCTCCCCCAGACTACGAAACTGAGACTATGGTCAGTTCCCATGCGGGGCTGCCTGAGTCGGGCAGTGCTTCTCCTGCGGTGCTCCCATGCAGCCCTGGGCTGGAGATGCCCCTGGTAGCTGTTTATCCCACAGCCAAGTGTTTACATTTGGAAGTACATCGTGCTGTGTCTAACTGGCTGCTGCCGAAGGAGAACAGGTTTTCCAGCCCTGCTTCTCCGAGGTCGTCTTCTGTGGTTTCATCTGGGCCGGGGGGGTCTCGTCCCTCAACTGGGGACTGGGGCATGTGCAGGTGGTGGCTTCCCTCCCCGTGTCCGTTTCCAGATGGAGTTTCTGGTGCTTTGTATTTGGGGTGGACAGAGAGAAAAACCCTGGGCGTAATGGTTCAAGAGACATGGCAGCCCTTCCTTCCAGGGAGTAATTTGCAACGGCACAGGGGCTGAAGGCATGGGCTTGCTGGCTTGAGAGATGGTCGATAATCCCTTTAGAAAAGCATGGTTTTTGACCGGCCGCTGTGGCGTCGACGCTGGTTTTGTGCTGCAGGTTGTACAAGGGTCTCCAGCCGTGGTAAAGGTCCTGCAGAGCAGGGGATTCCCATTATGAGTCCAGAAGGTAGGGGCAAGGTGCAAGCTGCATGGCCCCCTCCAGATGCCCTGGACTGCCACTCCCAGAATCCCTGACCAGTGGCCTCGCCGATATTCGTGTATGTCAGCTTCCCTCCCGCCCGTCTCGTGGTGTGTGTGGTGGACTGCAGCTCCCCACGTTTCTGACTTTTGGCCATGCTGCCTGGGGCTGAAGGACACGGAAGACTGAACTGCCTGCAGGGTATCAGGCTGTGGAAGGCCAGTGTATGCTTAGGCACCAGAGTCCTGGTGTGCAGTACTCACTCCTGCAGTTGGCAGGGCGGTACGGGGCCTCTTGATTGGCCAGGTGTGGTGTAAACATCAGAAGCGCGTCCTTCTGCCCTTGCCTGGTCAGCAGAGCAGGGCCTTCTGTCTGCGGTGCTCTCGCTCCTTCCGATTGAGTTCCCAGCTGCCCCAACTGGCCTCCGTCAGTCTCCCAGGTTGTGGGAGTTTGGGTACGGCTGTCCGTGGCTGTATCCTGGCCCTGACAGCCCCAGAGCCTTTCCGATCTGGGAGATGAGCCACAACATTTTCTTCCCAGCCCTGGGGAAATGCCACAGTGCTCTTGACCAGGGGTGGGTCGGCACATGTTTACTACATGTTTATCCCACTTGGGATCTGCCTCTCAGATCAAAAAATAAACAGGAGGCAGCGGCTGCCCCAGAGTTCTAAGCTGCGGTGATAAGATACTGAAGGAAAGGGCAAGAGAGACGGGGATCTGTTATTTCAGGCCTGAACAAGGTAGTGATTTAAGAGCCTGGCTGGGTGTCCATTGCTGCTTGAATAGCAATTGGTGGCGCTTGTCCCTTTGGCCACGGGCACATTCTTTCCCCTTCGTTCTCCTGTCCCAGGGCAACGGCCGCTTAGAGCCAAGCACTTTTTCTGGCAGGGTGACTCTAGGCTTGTGGGATTCCCTTTATGTTCTCCTAGTGGTGTCAAGATGTGTCAAGAGGTCAGCTTGACCTAGGTGCAGAACACGAACAGGGGCAAAGAAGCCTACACCGGGCATGGGTGGCTCACATGGGCTTGGCTCTGGCAAGTGTGACGAGCCCCACTGGTGTGGGGTGGCTTGCCTCGCAGGCAGGCAGAGAGGGGCACATGGCCTTACTGGTACCGCACCCAGAGCTGCTGGGTCTCAGGCAGCTGTGGCATTGGTGTCGGAGCTCCAGTGGGCTCCACAACGTCGTTGGACTAATACAAAGGCTTATTTTCAAGTGATGGGAAAGCAATTCAAGGAGGAAACTGGGTGGAAGGTGGCCGAGGGGAGTGGTTGGCCAGGCTGGCCTTGCCCAGGTGAGTGGGGGGGCGAGGCTGCTTTGACAGCTGCCTGCAGGCGCCAGGGCTTTGGACATCCCCAGTGTAACTTTCCCAGGGGGTGAGACCTGATGGCCTTCTTGGGCCCTTCCAACTCTACGATCTTTTGGTTCTTCTAAAAGCCTGGACTTCTCTGTCCTTGCATTGTCTCCTTTCCCTGGAGGAAGCTTCTCCACTGTTCTTTTCCGACTTCCTGTTTCTCTCCGGGAAAGAAGCTCACAACAGACTCTGAGGGCTTCTCGGGATGGGAAGTTCAGCTTGCCCCAGTGTATGGGCAGCTCCTAGTCAACAGACTCGCCTTGGAACGCCTAAGCGAGTGCCAGTGATAAGCGGCATAAGCCATATGGGAGTTGGGGTTGGCCAGTTTTTAAAATTCACTTTCAGGCACGACAGTCGGTCTGGTGGGCTTTTCATCTGTGGACAGCTCAGAACTGTGAGTCGGGAACTGTTGCTGCCTTAGGCTGAGTCAGCCCTGGATCCAGTTAGCCCAGTATGACTGACGCTGATAGGTGGCGGCGGCAGCTCTCCAGGGCTTCACGAACGGGTTTTGCTCGCCTCTCTGGGGGCCTTCTGCACGCAGGCAGGGGCTCTGGCACTGCGCCCGGGCCTGTCTCAGTGTCTGCTCCTTTCCTGACCTATGAGGCACAATTTTCACTCGGCCATTTGCTGTGAACCACTATAGGTCATATTTATTGTTGCAGTCATGGGTTATAACAACAACTGCAGAAAAAATAACAACAAAAGGGAAGCACAGAAGATCACTTCATGATCAGTAAAGCTCATTTGTCATTCCTGAGAGGGACATTTACAAATGCCAACGTTTACAGCTCAGAAGAGCAAACTCCACCATTGGCAGTGCAGCTCCCTTATTGTGAGATACGAGGCAAAGCCGCGTTTTTTGCAGACCAGAGCAGTTTCCCCCATGAGGACAGGATCTAAAACTTTGTTTGGGACGTAGAGGAAGTGTGGCAACAAAACAAGAGCAAAGGAAGTCTAGCTCTGGTTCCTTTGTTAAACATCCTTCTAAAGCCGAGGTTAACATCTGTGGCACCTTGAGTCAGTTTAGGCCATTTCTAGGGGCAGATGCAGAGATACGTCTGAGATAAGTGCACTCTGATCTGAAGGTTGTGCCCGAGGGGTGCCTTGGCCCGTGGGACAGCACAGAGACTGAGCTGGGAGACTGTGGACAGGTCGTTCTCCAATCACCTGTCTTTAGCGGGTAAATTTCACCCTGGCTCTTGCCTTTGGCAGCACTGGACCGTTGTAGCACCGGCTCGCTCATTTGGCCGGCGTCTCTGATCCTGCTCATCAGTGACAAAGGCTCCTAAGAGGTTTACACTCTGACACTGGTGCAGCACATGAGGTGAAAGGGAGGGGCAAAGAGGGGGGACGTGTGTTTCGGGGAGCTGGTGGAGCAGCCCCGCTTCCCTCATGTATCTTGCTGTGTGTGGTCTTTGAGAGGCGTAGTGGTAAGGCGTGAGCTGCACCGTGTCAGCCGTGAAAGCCCAGTAGGCAGGTGGTCTGTCGTGGGTTGGAAATCGAGTTCTGCATCTTCCTGTTTCTTTCTCGCTGTTAAAAGATTCTGGAGAATGCATGTCTGTTGGTGGTGAGATGCTTTCATGTTTGCCTTTCAGACCCTGTTCCTTGCCAGCATTGCTGGGGAGTCGCTTCCATCAAAAATGAGACTAACTTCCGAGTAGACATACTTAGCACTGAGGTGTTACTGGCACCCTGTAGACACAGGCAGATGTGTTTAGTCTGTATCTTTCCTTTCCTGCTTTTAATAGCTTTTAACACGTCTAATTTTGAATTGTGCTTTTAAAAAGCCAACTGATTTAACATTTGGTAGATTTGGATGGCTCAGAGATACCTTCCTTGGGGTTGAGCGGCTTCCAAGTGTGGATTAAGCAGGATATAAATATTTTTAATAAATCGACTGGCTGTTCTCAGTTCTGAGTGGGGGGGAACCCAAATATGTATGACTTTCTTGAAGCATAATCAAAGATGGCCATGGTGGCGGTGTGCTTTGACTAACTCCTCTTTATCAGCCAGCCACATCCTGCTGTACATAGTTTTAGTCCTGTGTTTGCTAGGCAGCCATCTGGCATTCTTCCAAAGGGTTTCTCCCCCCGCCCGTCCCTTCCCATCAGGGCTTTCTTTCTGACCCCTTCACAGTTTTGTGATTCTAAGGCAGTAACTGCCGCACTTCCTGTATTCTGTCCCTGTCGGTGTCGGATGGGTTCTTCTACCTTGTTCTAAAACGGTTTCATGACCTACAGATCACTTCCAGTGTGCAAGGAAGAGACACGGCCCAGCATAATAATGTTGTTTTCTTTGCTGAGCGAAGGATCCTGACCTCCATGCCCACACGCTGAACACAGGCACAATTCCCTATGTTTGTGTGACTGGAATACTGATCGGTGCCGCTGGAGCGACTAAACACAGCCGGCTGCAGTGTATGCTGGGAGTTGCAGTCCAACACATCCATAGTGCAGAGTTGCCGGGGAGCATGGACCAGGAGGATACATTTGCACCCTGGTTATGGGCTGCTCACAGGCAGCTGGGTG